TTCCTGTGAGCTCCATTTGTCAATGTATTGCACTTATTCATTTTTCTGCTTCTGCTGTTCTGCTGTGTGCCACCTCCCTGCAGACGCATACAGCACCTCCCCTTTTGTTTCTTGTTATGCTGATTCAATGCTTTTATTCTGAGATCTCATATTTTACAGATTGACACTACTGAAAAGCAAAATCTCTGCTTTCCTGGTCTGCTAATGCCTGTTATTCCTGGCCTCCGTCTGTCCTTCTGACATCCACTCTATTCCCATATTCTCTCCTGCTCATTAAGGGAAAAGGGGGCCATGTTTGGGGATATTAATTCCTTTCTCGGCCATTAGGAATTGAGACTGGCAAATTCCTTTTTATGACCATTTTACAGCTTTGTGCCGTAGTCTGCATTGTTGAATATTGCAGCTGTTGAATGCAGCCTTCCCTTAAAGCTACTAGGCACAGCTTCTTTGGCAGCTTTGTGAACTTTTAGGATTCTGCGTGGTTTGTCCACCCTTTGTACAAATGCTATAAAACAGTTCATTCCCAGCCTAATAAAAAGAGAGACCACTTTCCTTCCCATTAGGCTATTTTTGAATCATCATGATGAACATGGGTAGGCAAACTAAGGCCTGGAGGCCTGATCCGGCCCAATCGCCTTCTAAATCTGGCCCGCAGACGGTCCAGGAATCAGCATGTCTTTACATGAGTAGAATGTGTCCTTTTATTTAAAATGCATCTCTGGGTTATTTGTGGGGCATAGGAATTCGCTCATATCTTTTTTCAAAATATAGTCCACCCCCCCACCAAGGTCTGAGGGACAGTGGACCAGCCTCCTGCTGAAAAAGTTTGCTGACCCCGCTCATGAATGTGAGGGAGGGCTCTGAAGAGTGAGGAGGCAGGGGGCCAGGAGAGTGACCCAGGAGAGCGGACCAGTGATCTATGGGGTTTAGTGACACCTGCAAGGAAGGAGTCAGGACAGGAAGAGGAGGAAGGGGCAGGGCAGCCCAAGATGGATGGAAGTGCACAGGAGGTGGCTGGGGAGGAAGATACTCTTCAGGCAAGGGATGGGCCAGTAGACCCTGCTGTCTCCTGGAAGAAGGAGGAGCAGCAACAGCTTCTGCATGGGCAGACCCTCAGGTTGCACATGTGTGCGCCATCAGATGAATGTAATAAGCTTGGGGTGTGTGGTTTTCTCTGTTGCTGCAACTGCTCCTCAGAGCACAAATCTGGGGTCAGCAAACTTTTTCAGCAGGGGGCCGGTCCACTGTCCTTCAGACCTTGTGGGGGGCCAGACTATATTTGGGGGGGGGGGGTTTGAACGAATTCCTATGCCCCACAAATAACCCAGAGATGCAATTTAAATAAAATCACACATTCTACTCATGTAAAAACACGCTGATTCCCGGACCGTCTGCGGGCTGGATTTAGAAGGCGATTGGGCCGCATCTGGCCCCCAGGCCTTAGTTTGCCTACCCATGGCCTAGAGGCTAAAGCTTGTATGTGTGTGTATCCAGAGCACTATTGGAGCTGTGCTCCTGTAAGTGCTTCTTTGTCAGTAAAGGCTTAACTTGGCTGGGGGTTGGGGCCAGGACCATGCATAAAACTAAACAATTCTAGAAACAAACAGCTGAAAGTGCATTAAGGCCCACCAAGGAAATGTTGAACTAGATGATAAGTGAAATGCAAGACTGCATTTCCCTGCCTTTAATTTTACACACACACACACAGAGAGAGAGAGAGAGAGAGAGAGCGCGCAAATAGCTGCTGTGGTACCACAGTGGATGTAAAGGGGCTTCACCCTTTCTCTCTTAGTTTTCCTGACAGAAAAATACTGCCCTCTATCATAACGCGGGTGGCGCTGTGGGTTAAACCACAGAGCCTAGGACTTGCCGATCAGAAGGTTGGCGGTTCAAATCCCCACGACGGGGTGAGCTCCCGTTGCTCAGTCCCTGCTCCTGCCAACCTAGCAGTTCGAAAGCACGTCAAAGTGCAAGTAGATAAATAGGTACCACTCCGGCAGGAAGGTAAACGGCGTTTCCGTGCGCTGCTCTGGTTCGCCAGAAGCGGCTTAGTCATGCTGGCCACATGACCCGGAAGCTGTACGCCGGCTCCCTCAGCCAATAAAGAGAGATAAGCGCCGCAACCCCAGAGTCGGCCACGACTGGACCTAATGGGCAGGGGTCCCTTTACCTTTATCATTGAGCTGCTGTTTGCCCAGAAGGGAAGCAGCAATTTGTGCTCACAGCAGTCTTCTACCTGGGGCAAATAGCAGCTCGAGGGGGTTATGGGAGAGAGGATCGATTGGGAAAACAGCACAGCCAAAAGGCTTAATTCCTTTCCCCCCAGTACTGCAGTCCCAATCTGCATTGATGCCTCCCATCACAGCTATTTACTGTTTTGTTTTGAAATAAAAATATACAAATGCATTCACATAAGACATATGGATCAGGCCAACTGCCCATCAAATTCAACAACCTCTCAGTGGCCAACCAGATGTCTGTGGGAAACCAGAAAACTGATCATAAGCACAGCAACATCTGGTTTATTTTGCCTTGGAAGTTGAAGTTTTGGGGATTGTATCATGAAAAGGAAAATCAGACAGAGGGTGTTTGAGTAAATGCCGCCACATGAATCCTCACGTGTGTATGAGTGAGGGGGTATTTATGCTCTTAATGAAACTGAGGTAACTTTCTGAGGAAAAAACAAATGCCTAGAACCACAGAGCACTTTTGAGTCCCACTGATTTCTACAGGGCAGACTTCAGAATGTGATCAACACTCCCTTTGACATCTTTAGTTCGTAGATGCCCTAACTTTGGCTGGTTCATGCCTTCAGTATTTTTCTCCCTACACTACATATAAAAAGGCATGTGAACAATGCATTTATTTAGCTCTTGCAATTCTTTAAATGTGTGCTTAAAAGTCTTGGAGGCACACGAATATAATTGGCTGAAATTCCACTAAAGAAAGCATCAATATACCTAGTGATGATCCTCTTAGATACTTATGCAAAACAAACAAGAGGCTTATTTAATGTAGTCACCGCTGTTCCCCCTATATCTTTTGATCGATTGCTTTGTGGTCACGTTCATTAGACAGTCTAATTTGAACCACAATTAGATTTTATCTTTTTAAAAGATAAAGCAGATTCCCAAGTCATTAATTAAAAGACCTGACTCAAGTAGGCCGCAAGATGGATGTTACGCTCCTCCACTGATGACCCAGCTCAGCAAAACAGAACACTTTAGCTTTGAGAAGCAAATACTCTCAAACTAATTGAATGCAAACTTTTGCTGTGCACAGGGCAGGAGAAAATCCTCTCCAAAACATTCACAAACCCACACCTTTTGGTCCTGTTGCAATCCACCTGTACGACTTGCTGGACTCTATTGTATGTTGAGACAACCTGAGACAGACTGGATTAAAAAACAGAGAGACGTTTTGGCTTTAAACATTATCTGAAGTTCCACCCCTGAAATGCATGTATGGCTTCTGCATTCAGCTTGCAAACTTTTTAGCATGGAGGAAAGGCACAGATGACAGATGTTGAATATGCCCTGATTCTGGACCATGATAGCTTTGCCACAATGCTTCATGCCCTGGTAACCTCATGTCTTGACTACTGTAATACAGTCTACGCGGGGCTTCCCTTGAAGTTTGTTTGGAAATTGTAGTTGGTGCAGAATGCTGCTAAGAGGTGCTCCTGCATGCATTCATTTAACATTTGTTCTATGGGATCTGTGCTGGCTGGCTGCCTATATGTTGCCAGCCACAATTTTATGTTTTTACTTACAAAGCCCTGAGCAACCTGAGACTGATGTATATTATTATTATTATTATTATTATTATTATTATTACTTATTAAATTTATTAGGAGCTTTCTTGCCATGTCAACTCAAAGCGATTTACAATATGTTAAGTAAAACTCCCCAAAACAAACATAATAAAACTTTGCATTTTAAACAAAACCCTACATTAAAACATCCCACCCACAGGAAAAAGCTGTAGATAGTTAAAAGCCTGGTTAAAAAGGAATGTTTTTTGCCTGGCACCTAAAAATATCAATCAAAACTTAATTGCGGTCCGAAGACCCACAAAACAATTCCAAAACTAGATACGATCAGACAGACAGAGGAAAGAAACCAAGGCAGTCATTTTGTTTTTTTCTTTTTTTCTTTATAAGATATTTATTCCAAATTTCAAATTACCAAAAAAAACCAAGAGAAAACCATACACAGTAAAATAAACATACAACAAAAAAACAGACAATAAGAAAAACGCAACAAAAAATATAAAAATACATTACAATAAAATGAGACAAAAATCAAGTTAAACCTTTACAGCCTTTTTTTCCTTTTACTTATTTCCGTGACCTCCTCTCACCTCCCTGCTTTGTATTCTAGTTTAAATCATATTTCCAGCAAATCCTTCTAACCTTCTTTTCATTACTTATTTTAACATTCAGTAGCATAATTAGTACTCCTCTATCCCATCAGTTTCTACACTTCATTTTTACTTAGTCCATAATATCATCTCAGCCTAAACGACCTAATGATCTTTTTCCAACCTCTTTCTAACATTCTTTTATGTTGCAATATTTTTGAAGATATAATTTAAATTTTTTCCAGTCTTCTTCCATCGACCCTTCTCCCTGGTCTCGAATTCTGCCGGTCATCTCAGCCAGTTCCATGCAGTCCATCACTTTCATCTGCCATTCTTCTCGGGTAGGCAAAATTGTCATTTTGTTTTTTTCTAGGGCATAATGGTCTTTGTTTCTTATAACCTCCAAAAGAAACTTTGCCATGGCCAGTGTAATATCATTTGACCTGCCTTCCAAAAGATATTTAATATGGGAGACTTCAGATTTTCCCGGCAAATTTGCCAGTAAGGGTTTGATCAGTTGATCCCTTGCTTGCTCATATTGCCCACAATGCAGTAGGATATGCTTCATACAATCGACGTCCTGGGAACATAAACAAAGCCTATTATGATAGGGAATGTAATGATGATGCTAGGTGAGCCACCACTGTCCTCTGGAGGGGGGCACTCAAAGAAGGACCTCAGATGACAATCTCAGAGTCCGGGTCAGTTCATATGGGGAGAGATAGAGCCCTTGAGGTACTGAGGCCCTGAGCTATTTAAGGCTTTATAGGTCAAAACCAGCACTTTGAATTGGAAACAGTTCGCAAGCAGTTCACAGAGAGCAACAGGCCTGTGGCATAGTATTGTCTGAGCACTTCCACGCATGGCCCGCCAGGCTCCAAATACAGGGAGGGCGGCACCAGGAAACGGGAAGCAATTAAGGCCTTCCCCCCCTCTAGGTGACCCTCAACTCCATTTATAGACCAACACAGTGCCTGAGATGGGCAAGAGTGGAGGGCTGGTAACTGTCCCACTTAAACATTTCATTTCATTATGCAGTCATGTGTTTTGTTGTGTTTAAGACACTTATTGGCAACCATCCTGGGATTACCCTGTAATGAAGGCTGGTCTATAAATAAATTGGGTTAATAATTTAGTTATTAAAGTGGGTTTATGATGAATAAATAATACTTCGGATTCTCCTTTAGGTGTTACAGGAAGCTCTGCTGGCAGAATGAAAGAACGGTGCCCCATTCAGCTGACAGCACTCCTGCAATAATGTCCAAAGCTGTTCTTTTCTAGTTTAATACAGCCGTGCTGACTGGCGTCTACTTATCACAGGAGTGGGGAACTGCATCCATTCAGCAGCCTGGATCTTTATCTCTCCCACCCTGCAACATATCAAGTGTGAGAGGTGAGTGGGTGGGTCATTGTCCTGTCAATCACCTGATGTCACAATGATGTCAGGTGACCCTTTCCCCCTTTGTCAAACCGGATCGGCAGTTCCTGCAAAACTCACTTACGGCTGAGCTTCATCCTTACCTACCCCACACTGCATGTATGGGGCAAAACCACCTGTGTTTCATTTAGATAGTGCAGTCAGATATTTTTCTTAGCGGGATATAACCTGTTCACATCTGAAGTTCTTTTTGAGAAGTATCATTTCTCATTTTAAAAGGTAAAGGGACCCCTGACCATTAGGTCCAGTCATGGCCGACTCTGGGGTTGCGGTGCTCATCTCACTTTATTGGCCGAGGGAGCCGGCGTACAGCTTCCGGGTCATGGGGCCAGCATGACTAAGCCACTTCTGGCGAACCAGAACAGCGCACAGAAACGCCGTTTACCTTCCCGCCAGAGCGGTACCTATTTATCTACTTGCACTTTGACGTGCTTTCGAACTGCTAGGTTGGCAGGAGCAGGGACTGAGCAATGGGAGTTCACCCCGTCGTGGGGATTTGAACCGCTGACCTTCTGATCGGCAAGTCCTAGGCTCTGTGGTTTAACCCACAGCGCCACCCACGTCCCTATTTCTCATTTAAGAAGCTTAATTTTCCATGCTTCCTAGCAGTTCAAAAGCATGCCAGTGCAAGTAGATAAATAGGTACCGCTGTGGCGGGAAGGTAAATGGCATTTCCATGTGCTCTGGCTTCTGTCACAGTATCCTATTATGCCAGAAGGGTTTAGTCATGCTGGCCACACAACACATACAAACGCCGGCTCCCTCAGCCTGAAAGCCGAGATGAGCACCACAACCCCATAGTCGCCTTTGACTGGACCTAACTATCCAGGGGTCCTTTACCCCCTTCTTACCTTTTTAAGATGCTCGCAACAGTCATAGAAACACTTCCCTGAGGGAGAACGAGGTGATACTGTGCTCACCCCAAATGTATCCCAACTAAAACAACAACAACTATGTATGAATCAGCTGAAGGTTTGGCATCCATTGAGCAGGAAGGTAAAAGCTCCTTTGTAGAGCACTTGCTTTTCATGCAGAAGGTGCCAAGTTCAATGCCCCTTACCTGAAACTACCAATCCATGTTGAGAATATGGAACTAGATGGACCCGTGATGTGACCCATTATGAGGCAGCTCAGTATAAGGACAGGCTGCAATATGGATACTTTCAACCTGGAGAATCCAGCTGTTTTCTTCTTGAACTGCTTCCCGCCCCCTCCCCCAATACAAAACTAGAATCTACCTTCATCTGGTGTCTTTTCAGATTCCTTTCCTTCTCCATCAATTTGAAATAACGAGGCGTCTCTCCGGAAACTTAAATGCTAAGGAAAGGCTGCCTGTCGCCACCGGGGAAGAGCAGATATTGTCGCGTTATCCATTCCCGCAGTGACATCAGCCGCCTTCATGTGTAGCCACAGATGCTTGCACAGCTGCAACAGATCTAATGCAGACATGGGCAATGTGATTGTTTATCCCTCATAGAATGTGTACCGTATAGACAATGGAAATACACGTGAGAATCTATCTGCTTTCCATTCAGTTTCATTAAAACTATGGCATAGGCATTAACTGATATTAATCTGTGCAATTAACAGCACTACGAGCAGGAAGGGAAGTGGAAGAGAAAGGAGTTCCCCTCTCTCCCAAATTAGCATTTGGCCTCTCACAGAGGCTTCTGTTTATTTATTTATAGAAGTATTTGCACACTTTACATAAAGGTATTTACATATCAGAGTGGTGCGCGGCAACAGAAAAAACATTATTTAATAAAATAAACATTAAAAGCAGGACAGAATCATGAAAACTACTGGCTACCAGGTCCGCCCTAATGCCAGGAAGTTGCAGGAGTCAGGAGAACGTGAACGGCTGTGTTTATGTCAACAGGACAGCAACTCAACCTAGCAGCTTGGACTTGCTACCAAAGCAAGACGAAGGGTTGAACTCATTTCCCCTGAGCTATACAGGTATGTACACCCAGAAATGGGAGAGGACTTTAATAATAATAATAATAATAATAATAATAATAATAATAATAATAATAATTTATTTATATCCCACCCATCTTGCTGGGTTTTCCCAGCCACTCTGGGTGGCTTCCAACAAAAGATTAAAAATACAGATTAAAACATCAGTCATTAAAAACTTTGCTAAACAGGGCTGTCTTCTAAAAGTCTGGTAGTTGTTTTTCTCTTTGACATCTGGTGGGAGGGCATTCCACAGGGCGGGCGCCACTACCGAGAAGGCCCTCTGCCTGATTCCCTGTAACTTTACTTCTCGCAGTGAGGGAACCTACAGAAGGCCCTTGGAGCTGAACCTCAGTGTCCAGGCTGAGTGATGGGGGTGGAGACGCTCCTTCAGGTATACTGGGCCGAGGCCGTTTAGGGCTTTAAAGGTCAGCACCAACACTTTGAATTGTGCTTGGAAGCATACTGGGAGCCAATGTAGGTCTTTCAGGACCGGTGTTATATGGTCTTGGCAGCCATTCCCAGTCACCAATCTAGCTGCCACATTCTGGATTAGTTGTAGTTTCCGGGTCACATTCAAAGGTAGCCCCATGTAGAGCGCATTGCAGTAGTCCAAGCGGGAGATAACTACAGCATACACCACTTTGGCAAGCAGGTAGGGTCTCAGTCTGCGTACCAGATGGAGCTGTTAAACAGTTGCCCTGGACACAGAATTGACCTATGCCTCCATGGACAGCTGTGAGTCCAAAATGACTCCCAGGCTGCGCACCTGGTCCTTCAGGGGCACAGTTACCCTATTCAGGACCAGGGAGTCCTCCACACCAGCCCGCCCCCTGTCCCCCAAGAACAGTACTTCTGTCTTGTCAGGATTCAACCTCAGTCCGTTAGCCGCCACCCATCCTCCAACCATAGCTGTCAACTTTTCCCTTTTCTTGCAAGGAATCCTATTTGGAATAAGAGAATTTCCCTTTAAAAAAGGGAAATGTTGACAGCTATGCCTCCAACCGCCTCCAGACACTCACACAAGCACTTTGAATTACAGAGCAGACATGTCGCTTAAGAGACAGGCCATTCGCACTACATCCATGAGGAGGGGAGTCTCCCTGCTGCAAAGGCCGTCCACTTTTCAACTTACGGGACACTGATGCGGTGCAGGGGGCCAGAGAGAGTGCCCCCCTGCTTTTCTTGTGAGAATTAAGAGTCACGCGAGTAAAATAAACGCCCAAAACAGAGCTTGCGAAGAAGCAGAGATTGGTAGCATTTTAAGCTGAGCTGGCATTTGTCTCCTTACCACCACTGAGCGTTGCTATCTGCTTGCTGATCAGACAGATGCACTCCTCCCAATTGATCATTTTTAACATTGGATTTGGAACAACAAGTTGCCCTATTTAGAGAGAGAGAGAGAGAGCACAAACAAACAAAGAAACAAAGAAACAAACAAATATACATTAGACTGACCAGTTTGCATTAGTGTGAGCGTAAGCAACTCCAATGTGTTTCTATTTATCACCATTTGCTGTAATTGGACACCGTTCATTTCCTTCATCAGCTGATTCCTTTCCATTATTTCTTCTCAAAGAGGACTGCAATCAGCATTAGTTAGTGGGAATTTTGCTTGCCTGGAAGCTTTTGTAAAAGAGATCGGGCGACGGGGACGGACGACCATCATTGGGTATGCACACTAGAGAAGTTGTGTTTGCTTCCACTGTTATAACCCTTTTGCCTTTTAAAATGGTTCATTATCCTTATTGATACAAGGAGGGAGGGCCTACGTTTTGTACTGTAAAAAACCCTGAAGGCATCTAAGTATAGGATTTCAAACATCTGCTTCTGGATCCCTAGATACATTCTCTCATATTGTGATGGGAAAGGACTAAACCATCACTCTTATTATCTGTCCTGCAGTGGGATTTAAGGGCACCCATCAAACCTACTATGGGTTTTGGAATGCTGTTTATTTGCTACTTGTTTTGCATTATGGTTCCTGACATCGAGAAGCAGGTTTTCATCTGTATTTGGATACCCTCTGGACTTCATGTGGAATCAAATACAATGCTTAGCATTTGGGCCATTCTCACCCCTCAAAATCAGAGAAAACACTACACACACACACACACACCTCATCTATATGCAGGTCACACAAATCTCAGCATGTGCATCTGTACAGTTACCTTCAGGGAGAGTGTCTCAATCCAGCCCACAAGCCACATATATACGAAGTGAGTGTACAAAGGAGGGGAAATCATGGCTGAGACTTGCTATATGGATGGGGTGGATAACCTCTGCCTAAATCATGGGTAGGCAAACTAAGGCCCGGGGCCTGGATCCGGCCCAATCGCCTTCTAAATCCGGCCCGCGGACGGTCCGGGAATCAGCGTGTTTTTACATGAGTAGAATGTGTCCTTTTATTTAAAATGCATCTCTGGGTTATTTGTGGGGCCTGCCTGGTGTTTTTACATGAGTAGAATGTGTGCTTTTATTTCAAATGCATCTCTGGGTTATTTGTGGGGCATAGGAATTCGTTCATCTTTTTTTTCCAAAATATAGTCCGCCCCCCCCCCAAGGTCTGAAGGACAGTGGACCGGCCCCCTGCTGAAAAAGTTTGCTGACCCCTGGTAAATTTACACCAGGGTGGGGGAGCCCAAAGGGAAAGAAGGATAAGAGAGGGGGAACCAAAATGGGTGGAGAGATGAAATAGTGGCAGGGAATTATTTTGTTTGATCAAGAGTGAAAATATAAGAACACGAGTCCAACAGGGCTCAAGCACAAGAGCACTCTCCCCTCCCATGGTTTTCTACAACTAGTGATCTACCCCTCTCTCAGCAGCCCACCAGGTTTGGAGGAGGAAGGAGGGAGGGGGCAGGAGAGAAGGAGAATGAGAAAGAGACAAAGGGGGGAAATGGAAAGAGTAAGGAGTGGCCCATCCACCTTCATTCTGGCCCACTGCTGACTTGCATCCTCCAACAGATTACCCCTAAGGGAATGTGGCTCTCAGCAGAAACTTTCCTCACCCTTGTGTTACAGGATCCATTAAAATAACAACAGCAACACAAAACAATTGCACTTGTTGTCTTCCCAGCCGGCACAATGTCGCCCTCCAAGCAACACAATGTGATCTTCCCCAGGGGGGCTGTAAGAAATATTTCTAGGGCCTGAGACGTGGTTAGGCGTGACCTTCTTTTTAAAATGGTCTTTCCTGACATCTTCTCTTATATGTGCTTGTTTCAGATCTGAGGAATGAGCTGCATTGATCCTAGTTCTGGAGATCAGTCAGAGTAGTAAACAACAAGGCTCGGTGATTTATGACCAGGCTGGCTGATAGTACCTTAGAGATGCCTAACCACCTTCAGCTTAAGAGCTGGCTTCAGAAATGTGGAACTTAAACATTTCAGGTAGCGTTCCTTCAAGCCACTCACATCTGCAAAGTGAGAAAAGATTTCAGGCAGATCAATAAGAAAGGACTCTGATAGCTAACCAGCCACCCAGCTGGAGATAAGGTCTGTACAGTGGTACCTCGGGTTAAGTACTTAATTCGTTCCGAAGGTCTGTTCTTAACCTGAAACTGTTCTTAACCTGAAGCACCACTTTAGCTAATGGGGCCTCCCACTGCCGCCGCGCCACCGGAGCACAATTTCTGTTCTCATCCTGAAGCAAAGTTCTTAACCTGAAGCACTATTTCTGGGTTAGTGGAGTCTGTAACCTGAAGCGTATGTAACCTGAGGTACCACTGTACTGCATTGGCAAACGGGCAAACTTCTAGCAACATGCAATGGCTGCAAAGCCAAGGCAGTGGCAGTTTTGTTCTGTCTCTCTACAAAAAGGATTCTCTGGACTGCAGGTCAAGGAAATGTTTCCTCTAGCACTGATCTGCATATGCAGTACAATCAGTACTCTTGAAATTATCTCCCAAACAACAAAAGAGTCCCAATTTGCAAAGCTTTCCAGGAGAATAAAATGTGTTGAAATTCCATTAGGTGAATGGAAGAGGGAGTGGTTGGTATACCACTCTGAGAATTATTGCTCTGGGTGTGGAATTGGGGGATCTCCTAACAACTCTTGCCACCCTGAATAAACTGCATCTCCCAGAATTCTTGGGGGAATGTCAGGACTGCTTAAAGTGGTATAATACTGCTTTAAATGTATGGTATGGATGAGGACTAAGATAAATAGGGCTGTGTCATATGCATTTAACACACACACATCCCGCCAAGAATCCTGGGAACTATGGCTTACCCCATACAGAGCTACACTTAACAAACCACAGCTCCCAGAATTATTTAGGCATAGAATGTGCTTTCAATGTATGGTGTATATGCAGCCTAAGTCTGGGCTGTAATTCATCTGGGGTGATCACAGGGCAGGGAAGAGCTTGTGAACAAAAGATCAGCAATCCAAAAGATTTGCCCACCTGGATCGCCTTGATTTTGGCTTCCTTCCACTGCTTTCCCTCTAAAGCCTTTGGAAGGAAGGAGCTCTCCCGCCCTCCCAATCTAGAGCCAAGGCTGCAAAAAGAGGCTGTTAGGTAAATCTCCGCGCGTTCATTAAACAATATTTGTGCCGAGCGCTTAAATATCCCAGCGACGCTCCTTTCCTTTCAAGTTCCCTATTGAACGGCCAGTGAAATCTGAAACGGGCTGAGCGTTAGGGCGCTGTATTTCAAATGTACATTTTAAATAAATTAATAAATGGCTTCTTATAAATAATGGAATGTAATTAAACTCTACATTCTATCAGGCATTCATACACTTATAAATATTTATACTGGAATTTTCAGCGCGCACTTGAAAAGAGACTCGCGTTGAGATGAGCAACTTCAACAGCCTCCGAAATATCTCCCTGGGCCATGCTGCCGACGGAGCTCTTCCGTGCAAACATCGATGATGATAACATATATGTTCAAGTGCAGGAAGGCCTTCAGACCGTGGAGACCATGGATGGTGGGCGTTACCCTTCCAGCCTTGAATCGTAAGTCTCTTTGCATGCTTTTCCTGTCCAACAGTTAGTCCCCACACCACAGGAATATAAGTGCATGAGCATCCAGAAATATGAAGGATTTTTCCAAAGCAAAGTTAATACAGATGTTTTCTGACCAAAAAGGAAGACTCCACAGGATGCTGCCTGAGTGCTGGAAGGAAGACCTGGCTCCCTGCTATAAGGCCAATTCCCACCTGGCCCTGAACTCACCCTGAACAGCTAAAAGAGGCTCCTGGGAGGCCAGAGGAACAGGGCTGGAGCAACTCTTGGGCTGGGGCAACTGGCTAAAATGTTTTGAAACGTTTTAAATGGTTCTAATTTTGGCTCGTCTGTTTCATTTTTGTCTGGTTGGTGTTGTTTAAATGTTTAGTTGGGCTTGGCGGTTACTTTAATTTGGGTATAACTGTAAACTTATTATTATTGTTATTATCATTGTTATTGGTTTTTATTGATTTATTGGTTTGTTTGTTGCTTGTATAGGATATCTTGTTTCTTCATGTTTGATGTTTTGTTGTGGTTTATATGTTGCCCAGAGTGGCTGGGGAAACCCAGCCAGATGGGTGGGATATAAATTAAATATTATTATTATTATTATTATTATTATTATTACAGGTTATGCCCAAGCCAAAGAGGCCTCATCAGTGTTATAATCTATCTGAACCACTCTGAAACTGCTCTGATCCATTCTATCCACCGTTTATGGGCTGCTTCACAATGTTGCCATGCGCTTCTCTTCCTGAGAGAAGCGACCTCCAATAGAAACAACAATTAGAAGACTTCAGCTCATTTGCATTCATAAACTTCACGGCTTGAATGAGTGCGCTAGACTCCAAACCACAGCTTGCAGCACCTATATCCTACTACTGAGCATAATTGCAGACTGAATAAAGGCAAACTAAAATTCATATGGCATGGAGGAGCTACGGTTAGGTTATCCATCTGGCCAAAGATGTGAAGATCAATCCACAGTAGATGGGCTTGCACCCTTTGCTGCTTCTGCAGCTTGAACTGCTACCTCCCAATATGGCCTTTTTGCTGAAGAATGCATGCTGTTCACCACTCTGTAGCAGTAAGTTCCAAGAAGGAGATTTCAGATCATGCCATCTTGAAAGAACTGCATTAGCAGTGTTGTGTAGTCTTGTGGGCTGGCTGTGTCCCCCCTGCCAATGTACTTGGTAGCCTTGCCCACCTGCTATCTGCATACTCAGACAGCATGTGGAAGGGTCACTACACATGAACAGTTCCCCTATCTGAGGGAGAATGACCTTGGAAACTCTATGTCAGGGCTGGGGAACCTTCGGCCCTCCAGATGTTGTTGAACTGCAATTCCCATCATCCCTAGCCAGCAGAGTCAACTGTTAGGGATTATGGGAGTTGTACAGTGGTACCTCGGGTTAAGTACTTAATTCATTCCGGAGGTCCATTCTTAACCTGAAACTGTTCTTAACCTGAAGCACCACTTTAGCTAATGGGGCCTCCTGCTGCTGCCGCGCCGCCAGAGCACGATTTCTGTTCTCATTCCGAAGCTAAGTTCTTAACCCGAGGTACTATTTCTGGGTTAGCGGAGTCTGTAACCTGAAGCGTCTGTAACCTGAAGTAACCCGAGGTACCACTGTAGTCCATTTAGAGAGCCAACAGCTCCTCAGTCCTGTACTGCATGAAAACTTTGATATTATGTGTGTAGATACTTTTCACGTGCTGGCATAACACATGGATGGAATGGGGTGGGGGACACGGTCTCTGGGCATGTTGGTGGGAAGGGGTAAGTCTAGCCTCTGCCCCCACAACACCCACGACTCATTCTTTCAGTGAATGGGGTGGGGTTCATCTGAGCCTCCAAAAAGCCTTTTTATACTTCAGCAAAGCAAAATGTAGAACTTACAAAAGCAATCCGTAGTGACATACTAGAACTCCAAGTAGCTGCTGATTCCACTACCTCTCCCATTTCATGAACAGTTACAATACAGCTGTTTAAAGTACTGTGTATTCATACTAATCCAGTTAATTTTTTTTCTGGTTGGCAGGCAAGAGTTTTAAATACAGAGAGAAGTGGCAAATGCTCTTTCTCCTACAGAGTAATGAAATGAGGTAGCCTCTGATTTTGGGAGCCAATGTGGGTTTTCCACCCCCGAGTTTTGAGACTACCGAAATAGATAATCCACTATTTTTGTTCTGAGACCATTATGTTTATCCTTTGGTTTTAGTGGAGTTGGCATGCTCATAAATCGCCTCTTCCTCTGGCGGTTATTTCTGCCTGGTAAATTATTTTTTTATTCGCAAGGCAATAAAAGGTCACTAGAAAAGGAAAAAATATATATATTTCCATCTCGTAAAATAAAGTTAAACAGTATTTAGCATTTATATCTTTCCAGGGTGGTAATCAAAATATGGTTTATTTGACTGAATGAAGACCTATGATACTGAAAGAGATAAATCCAATGACTCGTTTTAGCAAAGGAAGATAAATCTTCAGCAATGTCATGTGGGCAGCCGTGGAAGACCAATGCCAAACTGTGCACAGGTCTGTGCAGAAGTGGCAAGAGTTTTGGAGGGTGACCAGCAGTTAATGATGGATGGAGTCAGGAGTGCCAACTTGGCCCCAAGACCATGGGTGCCCTTGGCCCTGGGCGCCATGCAGCGTGCGTGGCCCTGGCACTGAAATTTGTGGCTGCCCGGCCCCTTCATGGGGAATTTTGTGGGTGCTCGGGCATCCAGGGCCCCAGGGAGTTGGCACCTATGGATGGATTAGCCAATCTATGTTCTCTGTCTCTTTTCCTATCATAAATCCAGTTCTTCACATTTCTGCAGTAATTTGTGAATTCTTTTTTAAAAAAAAATCCTCACGAAAATTCACTAGAACTTTAAGTGTGAATTTCTTCTAATAAACATATTTTTGAATGCATTCTTGACCACGGTGGACATTTTTGCAAGAAATTTCCTCTAAAATAATGCATTTTAAATGTTATTTTCACTAATACACATTAATTTTTATGCATACTTTTCCCAATATGTGCAATCTCGTACCAGTCATTTGTTTTTTGAGAACTGGTTGGGGAGAGAAAAAATGGAGAAATGCAAAAAAAAGAAAAAAGAAGAAAAGGAAGGGGGACTGGAGAAGTGCAGATTTCAGAGAATAGTTGTGTTTTGTTCAGAAGAAGATAGCAGCCTACTAGATCAGGCCAATGGCCCATCTAGTCCAACATCCTGTTCTCACTGTGGCCAGCCGGATGCCCGTGGGAAATCTGCAAGCAGGATTGGAACTCAATTTCACTTTCCCCATCTGTGGTTTCTAGCAACCATTACAGTGGTACCTCTGGATGTGAACGGGATCCGTTCCAGAGTCACGTTTGCATCCTGAAGCGAACGCAACCCGTGTCTGCGCGTCTGTGCACATGCGGGTTGTGATTCGCCGCTTCCGCGCATGCGCATGATGTCATTTTGAGCGTCTGCGCATGTGCAAGCGGCGAAACCCAGAAGTAACGCACTATGTTACTTCCGGGTCGCCATGGAGCGTAACCCAAAAATGCTTAACCCGAAGCTACTTCAACCCAAGGTATGACTATTGCCTCCTACCATGGAGCTGAGAAATGTGAATTAGGTAACTTTTCATTAAAATGCAAACAATGTCAGGTTTCTCCTCCATCCTTACCAGTGTTTGGGGTGGGAGAGATCTCACAACCCTTCTAGAAAACTTCCCTAATGCCCATGCCGTTCATGTTGTTAAAAATCAACAATATCTTTTGTTCCTTTTTATTAAAATAAAGCATTTCCCCTCCCTCAATCCATGCCTAGACAGGAATGCCAACTTGACCCCACAACCATGGGTGCCCTCGGCCGTGGGTGTCATGCAGTGTGCATGATCCTGGCACTGATATGTGTGGCTGCCCGGCCCCTTCATGGGGAATTTTGTGGGTGCTCGGGCACCTAGGGCTGCAGGGAGTTGGCACCTTTGTGCCCATGGATACCTCGAAAAGGAGAATGTATGAGAAAATCCAGACTGGGGGAAAGAAATGGGTGGGAAGGCAGTGATTAAGAAGAGAATGTCATATGGACAATTAAGAATTAATGGAGGTACAGGAAACTTACTATCTACAATTAGTTATGATTCCTGTATTACAGTGGGTTGGACTAGATGACCCTGAGGATCCCTTCTATAATTCTATGATTCTCCCAACATATGCAAAATTATTAGCTTTGTCTCCTTCCTTCCTTCCTTCCCTCCCTCCCTCCCTCCCTTCCTCTTTCTTTCTTTCTTTCTTTCTTTCTTTTGCCTTCATTACCTTCATCAAGTATGATGAGCCATAGCAGAATTCTGAAGTTGTTTTCTTGTTTTCTTTTTAGGCCACTGCATGAGCTGAACTCTGTGAATTAATTTTTTTCTGGCAAATTAATTCCACTCAGGGGGAAGTTTCAGAGCACTGGGTTTTCAAATGTAGCCAGAAAATGACATTTGTCTGGCATCTGTGATGCCAACAGCCTTTGTCCAGATCCTAATCTCTTTCCTGAGAATGTGGGTTTATTAGAGAACAAAACTGGCATGCCAAATCCTATACACACAAAACGATTCTTTTATGTAAAGACAAGGTATATATATATCAAACGCCTAATTCAATTAACTGTTAACATATTTATTTGGAAGTAAGGAAGTAAGGCTGGGCCATGGGACATGGGTGGCGCTGTGGTCTAAACCACAGAGCCTAGGGCTTGCTGAGTGGAAGGTTGGCGGTTCGAATCCCCGCGACGGGGTGAGCTCCCGTTGCTCGGTCCCTGCTCCTGCCAACCTAGCAGTTCGAAAGCACATCAAAGTGCAAGTAGATAAATAGGTATCGCTCTGGCGGGAAGGTAAACGGCGTTTCTGTGCCCAGCTCTGGTTTGCCAGAAGCGGCTTAGTCATGCTGGCCACATGACCCGGAAAAACTCTGTGGACAAACGTTGGCTCCCTTAGCCAATAAAGCGAGATAAGCGCCACAACCCCAGAGTCGTTTGCGACTGGACTTAACTGTCAGGGGTCCTTTACCTTTACCTTTTAAGGGCTGGGCCACCCATACAAACACCCATTAGTTTGTGTTTGCACTCCTTTCTCAATTTACACAGTGTAAATTGGATTATTGTCTTGACTGGTAGCATCAGTCGGGTGATTGCTATTCACTTAGCTGCATGGGTGTCTTATGCTAAGTTCTTTTATTCCACATTCTTTGAGCTTTCATAGGAGGATGGCATATGGCAGCCTTTGCCAACCTGATGCCTTCCAGATGTTGTGGACTACAACTCCCATCAGCCTCGGCCAGGATATTATTAAAAACCAAGATCCCACCCTCCAAAAAATAAAAAAGTATAAAAACTGAACATTTTTGCTTCTGCTCCGCAAAACAAGGGAATTGTCAATATTTTCCCCACTGCAGCTGGAAAGCTGAAATTCAGAACTTAGGACACTTCCAGACTACTTCTGCTACATTCAGGTGGGATTTGGTCCAATACTGGCAAATTCAGGTTGCACAATCGAAGTTGCGTTGGAGCTTTTGTAGAACAACCTGCTTCCCCACCCCAAAAGTACCGTATTTTTCTGTGTATAAGACTAGGGTTTTTTTATTTAAAAGTTATGCTAAAATTTTGGCCTCGTCTTATACACGGGCAATCTCCCCCCATTTTCTCAATTTTTAGTCCCCCAAAAGAGGGGTGTCTTATACACAGGGGTGTGTTATACACAGAAAAATACGGTAATTCTGTAAGGAAGGTCATGGGAAAATGCACGGGGAAATGTGAGATTTATACCTGCTTTGACGCAATAGCATCTAACCTCCCTGCAACAAATCAAGATGAATGTTCAATAAATTGGTCACCTGGAAGTGACCTTACATATTCAAAGACACATTGATCCTTTTAAAAAGAAAGTTTTCAGGTGGATAGGACACATGTACATTTCTTTAAAGCTCAATCAGGGCAAATGGCAAATTAAGTGTGGATAAGCCCTAAAAGGGTTTAGCCCCCCAAATGTTTAATATAATTCTACATCATTGGTACTTCTTGGTGCAGAAACATGGTGCAGGCATAGTTAAAAGCAAACTGATTACTGAGCAAGGCTTGAAATTGGACATTTTTAAAATTGAAAAGGCAAGTGTTAAGTTGTGGGTGAACATATCAGACGACACAGCGATTCTTCAAACAGCTCTTGTTTATTCACAGGCCATAACAGAACTGAACTGAAGGTTTCAGCCAGCTTGCTTATATAGAGCTCCACTACAGTGCAAGAGTAGCAACTTTCTGTAACTATCCAATCACTGAATGTCACTTTCAATCCCTTATTTGCATATGTGGACCTGAGTGAAAACTGTCTACAGTACCCCCTGCTGGCCCAGGGTGAGAACTTCAGTACATAACAGCAAACATTCAAAAGTAGAACCATGAAGTATACCTCTCACCACAGAGGCTGAAGTTTGAGCTCTGTGCAAAGGCAAGCTGCAACTGGGATGGAATGCCGGGCTATGGATATGCCACTATATCAGAGATATAGCTCAGATAGCTGGGGAGATAGCTTAGTCTGTAGAGCACGGGACTCTTAATCTCAGAGTTGTGGGTATGAGCCCCACACTGGGCAAAAGATTCCTGCATTGCAGAGGGTTGGACTAGATGACCCTTGTGGTTCCTTCTATGATTCTAAGCGATAGCCAATGTGCACCCCTCTGGATATTGTTGGCCCCAGACAGCATGTCCAATGGTGGGTGTGGTGGGTGGGGGCTGTACCCTCCCAAAACCAGGAGGGTACCTTGTTTGCAATCCCTACACTATCCTTAAACTTGAACTTAGAAGAAGGGTCACTTCCTGTTGCATCCAGGAATTGCAATCTTATTTTTTCCACAGTGCAAGCTCTATTTACCAGTAATGGGAAACGTCTATTTTCAGGACAGTTTCTAAAAGAATGATTGAGACTTGATGGACCATTCTCTCTCTCTCTCTCTCTCTGTCTCTCCCCCTAAGCCCATAATCAAATATATACTCATTGTTACCTGCAGAGTCTTCTGCCTTGGGCACCTTAAATTTTATAAATGCTCATAAATCAGGTAATCTTCTGTATTTGTTCATAGCAGGGCCAGGATTTCATATTCCTCCCTACCCCCTTATCAACCAATGGCTTTTCGTGCCTTTTAACATTTTACAGAAGTGTGTATATTAGGTGAAACTGCAAATGTGCCCTAAAATGCTGCCAATTTTTCACGAGGACTTTTTAAACAAAATTGCAAGCTGACACAGAAATGGGGCAAACTGAACCTGAGACTGGGAAAATGAGGGAAACTGAAATGGATGGATTCATCCGTCCATATGCCTTACTAAATAATACACCCTATCCTTTGTTCCATATATGCAGAATCTTGCAAGCCCTGGTTTTGAGGCAGAACTGCAGAGATCTATGTTCCAATCCATGCAATCACATAGTATTTATTGATTATTAAACTCTTGCCAATCCTGGGACCCTGAGTGACCAGTGACAAAAGCTGTAGATCATGCAGGCCTTTTAATGAGTGATAGTGATGGGACAAAATAATTGAACATCACATGCCGTGTGTCTTGTGTTTGTCTGCTAGAATCCAGACAAAGCTTTCAGAGGACAGAGCTTGTCAGCGTGCTGACGGTGAATGACAAAGTCTTCACATAACCTTCAAACAAAGCAGGAGTTCCAGCCAATCAAAGCCCTTCGTGCGAGTCCCACAGAGCCAATAAATGTCTCATATTCATTTGTCAATACATAGCGGCTCAGAACTATAGGTTAGAAGCCAACCACACACACACACACACACACACACACACACACACCTATAGTATTGTGACTAATAAAGATTTTTCACCTCCGTGCATCCTTGGATTAAGTTTTAATTTAGTTATTCCTACACTGAGATGCAAAAGTAAATTAACAGCAAACAGATGTGTTGCTAGTGATCAAAGACAGCACACCATTATAGATTATAATTAGCTTTTATATATAGCCCAGAGGTTTGAATAATCTCCCCTTCCCCCTTCTCAAGACATTACAATTCTAAACTGGATTAATATTAATTCATGGTGTTGTGGCACTTTTCTGCTTTGCTTCCACACATCTTCACACAGAATGAGGAAATGGGGTGAAAAAACACAGGTTGCAATCCTATTTAAGCTTACATGGATGTAAGCCCCATTGAACTCAATGTGACTTACTTCTGAGTAGACATGCATGGAATTGCAGTGCAGGTGTCACGGGTTATAGGCTACATAAACACCAAGGAAATATGCAATCGTTCGAACCATTGACAAACGGTTGTTTCATCCACATTCCCAGGAAAATATAATAATAATTATTGGTGCTGGGTAGTAACGTTGTTGTTGTTTAAAAAAATTCTTTATAAATATCAGAATATTGCATTTGGGATCTTTATTTATTTATTATTTATTTCATAAAATTTCTACACCGCTTGATTATCAGGGGGGAAACCGCAAAGCAGTTTGTCTTTTGATATTCTCACTTAAAGCTAAAAGGTGACAAAGAATTATCTAAATGACATGTGTTATATAATTTCACCAAAGCACAGGAGACAAATAATGTCATCTTTAGCAGAAGATGAACTGCAATGGAACAGAAACAGTGCCGCATACAGGATGGGGTGGAAAATGCTCACAGGGCATTCACAGAAAAGTTTGCTCCTGGTTTTCTTCATTTCCAGAGTCTAATTTCAGTGAAAACAGGTCAATTTGTTATTTCTGTAATAACAGAAATAAACAGAAATTTATGTAACAACAGAAATAAGAGTCAGAAATCTTTGCTGATCTATTGCAAATCACCCAGAGATCTATCTACTAGTAAATACCGATCTGCCTTCTGCCCACTTGTGAGCTAAGCAATGCGACAGTCCTTTTCTCGTCTTTGCATCATCCTTTCCTTTAAATGCCTCTCGCTTTAGAATCTGACATCTTATTCATGAGTGTGACGATGTCGCTAAGTCTTTCCCCCATTGCTCAGTAACTGCATTTCCTATTGAAATGACACTGAAATAGGGGTCACACTGGCAGACGATTATATGAATCAAAGGACTATTGTGCACCTTAGTCATACTGAATCAGAACAGCTGGTGGGTTTTGTACAAAGCTGCACTGCCATACTGCTGCTTCTTTTGGCTAGGGATGATTTTTGCAGCTAGGGCGATCCAAAGTGGTTCATCGGGATGTGTAAAAGAATTTTGATGGAGCTTTGCAAGGGGTATATGCATAAGTGTTCCTGTTGCATGTCGGGATTAGACATGGGTTCCAAAGGAAGTTCATCTTACTCCTTTCCCTTAGGATGTTTTGCTAGCTGGCAGAGAGGATCTTTGCCTGAGACACTTTGCTCTGTTTTTTAATCTAAAAATAATACCTTGTCTAAGCTGTAATCCTTATGACCACCTTGTAAGCATTATTAGCCCCCATATTGTGGATAGTGGGGGGACTGAGGCTGAAAGAAATAGAATCATAGAGTTGGAAGGGACCCTAGTCTAACCCCCTGCAATGCCCACTTGTCTAAACCTTGTGGGCTTATAGCAGAGGCAACACTGGAACCATGGACTTCCTGATTCAGAGTTCAGTCTCTTAAGCAGCTCTTCTGCTGGTAGTTTTGCTGGTATCAATAGATATCAATTGGGGCTCATCAGCATTGTTAGATGTGTGCAGCTATGTTTGTAAACTGGGTTTCCCCTTGCTGTTTTATGCAGTCTAGCTTTTAGATTGAATTTCTGATATGTTCCATTACTGGTGTTGTTAGCTGTTGTGGTAAAGTGCACCCAGCAGTATTGGGAGAGCAAAGAGTTAATACAGTCGTACCTCAGAAGCCGAACGGAATCCGTTCCAGAAGTCTGTTCGACTTCCAAAACGTTTGGGAACCAAGGCACGGCTTCCGAATGGCAGCAGGAAGCTCCTGCAGTTAATCGGAAGCTGCAGAAGTCGTGATGGATGTTCGGGTTCCAAAAAATATTTGCGGTGTTCAGGAGCCAAGACGTTCGTCTTGCAAGGCGTTTGACTTCTGAGGTATGACTGTAGTTGTAGGAGGGGGGGCCCTGCCTTCAAGAGGCAGCATGGGAAGGACGGCTCCTGTTTGTTTTTGTTTATTGATAAAATGATTGAGTGCTGTTAGAGGCTCTGTGCCTCAACTGTGATTATTTTAAAATTAATTGTTTACGTTCTTTGAGCCAGTAGCAGTGTTCTTACTTAGCATCCTTGGGCAGCTGCCAGCAGCTTAGCACCTGGTATTGCCCACAGTTAATGCCTGTCCCCAGGCCTCCTATTCCACCACCTCCCCCAAGCCCAGCACCTGAGTCAGGTGACATGCAGAGTCAGGTGACATGCAGAGTCAGGTGACATGGTCCTAGTGTCTTCCTGAGGCATTGTGGGAAGTGTAAATGTCGTTAGATGCACACATACAAACCCCATTCAGTGTCCAGATAAACACACCAGGAATTACTGTCTGAGAAGGGGGGGGCACTAGAGGGACACTGGCCAGGACCCCCTCAAACCTGACGCTGACCCTGTCCCCATCTACACAAGGCCCGCCTCTTCCTGTGCATATCCCCTGCCTAGATTGTTTCCTAGTGTGTTGCTAGAGGACGGGCGGCCAGTGTGATGCCCTCCACATGCTGTTGGACTCCAACTCCCATCAGCCCCAGCCAACACAGCCAATAGTTAGGAGTGATGGGAGTTGCAGTCAACCAAGAGCATGAGAAAAACATTGGAAACACTAGCAAAGTTTGGATATTTTAGCAGTGTATCTAAGAGAGAAAGGCCTGGGAAATTATTATTATACAGTTTGTGTAGCAGAAAGGTCAATACTGACTGGGCACCTTAAAACTGGTGCATCTGCCGATAACCCCTTCAAGTTTACTTCTTTGCAATAGTCCTTTCCTTTGATATTTGTGAGGAAATTGTGGTTTTATTCAGCAGCAATTGAAGTCATTTTCTTCTGGCAACTCCGTGTTCCTAGATTAGACAAAGGAGAGCGATTTCTGTAAGAATTTCACAATACCTGGCTGATGGTGAGCCAAACTAGATAATGATAAGAGCATTCACATGTTGTGTTCAGGGAGTGAAGAATCTGTGTACGCAAAGAGCTGAGATGTAAGCTCATACAGCTACCCATACAACACCAGCACAAACCACTCTTTCGTACCTGTGTTCTGTGTAATGTGTGAACGAGCATATAATTATTCTGCAGATAGTATTTGTCAAGGTATTGCATGGATTAGATTTCACTCCAAGTACTATATGACTCTATCTAGCAATCAGAAGTGTACCTGGTAGTGCAATGTCCTATTATGTAAAGGATTACCCATGCAAAAAAGTGGGTGGGTGGGTAGGACTTTTGTTAAAGTGCACTCCACCCGAAACCTGGCTTTGATTTTTGAGTGTGGTTTCAAAGTTTGGAGGCAACTAAAAAGAATTTCCTCCTTATCTAGACTAAATGAGGACAAAAGGGAAGACTGTCCAGAGTACAAACGATGACCTGTAAGATTAAAAAGAAGTCTCTCTGTTGGAATTTTATCATCACTCGTAAGTGACAAAGCACCAAAAGACAGGTTTCTGGCAGGAGCAATATATTTTCTTCAGGGCAGTAAAATCATCAGCGAGGTGTCTGTATGTCTGTAGTGCTGCTTGAATATGAAAGCAATTCTCTGAAGCTGGGTGGCTTAATTCCATTGTTTTCGTCAAGAACGAATATTCTGGATCGCAATTTTCAGTGACTGATTGTAATGAGCACAGGCTTGGAAAATGGATGAGCAGGCTTCTTGAATGATTGCTGGACCCGGCTCCGATACCATTGACAGCAATATTTGCATCTATCTAAAAAGAGATTAAATGTTAACAGGGCTTCAGTACATTTGTCTGCCTGGCATCTTGTGTGACTGGTTTTCCTATTAAATTAAGGCAGAGGAAAGGGCAGAAAGGAAAGAGAAGGGGGGAGGGGAAAAGAAGAAGGGAAAAGTAGAGACAGATGGCAAAGTGAAACTCTTCACATTCCAGTCTCTGTATCTGTTTTGTGTAAAAGAATTGCCAGGAAGAGAACAAAGTGGAGATTCTGGCATTGCAGGGGGCTGGACTAGTTGACCCCGGGACCCTTTCCAACTCAACAATTCCACGACTTGCTAGATTATCACCTGATGTGTGTGTAATGAAAACTTGCTACTGCTCAAAATGCCTGAGATAGCTGTGAAAATTTGCTGTAGATAAACCCTCAAAGAGTGCTGTAGCGTCTTTGGGGTTTACATTTTTAAAAAATAAATAAATTAGGCTTGCTTTTAATCTGTCACCTGCTGCTTTTATGATGTCCTCAATCATGTGGGAGCCCTGCTCCCCTTTAAGCTGCCCTGTTGGTGTCTGACTACTGTTCCTCACTCTTAGCCATGGCTGGGGTCCAAAGCCACAATGGCTATGTGATATACCTCCAAAGAAAGGGACACAGGTGGCGCTGTGGGTTAAACCACAGAGCCTAGGACTTGCCGCTCAGAAGGTCGGTGGTTCGAATCCCCGCGATGGGGTGAGCTCCCATTGCTCGGTCCCTGCTCCCACCAACCTAGCAGTTCAAAAGCACGTCAAAGTGCAAGTAGATAAATAGGTACCGCTCCGGCAGGAAGGTAAACAGCGTTTCCGTGCGCTGCTCTGCTTTCGCCAGAAGTGGCTTAGTCATGCTGGCCACATGACCCGGAAGCTGTACGCCTGCTCCCTCGGCCAATAAAGCGAGATGAGCGCCGCAACCCCAGAGTCGGTCACAACTGGACCTAATGGTCAGGGGTCCCTTTACCTTTATATCTCCAAAGCTGGAGATAAGAATGCCAGTTGCTAGAAATCATGCACTCAGGTCCTGCTTGGGTATTTCCCATAGGCATCTGAGTAGTCCAGGATGCTGGACAAGAGGGTCATGCGTCCGATCCGGCTGGGATCTTCGTATGTTCATTTTCACATATACAAAGTCTTCCTTCAGTTCAGAGTTTTTGCCCAACTGGAAAACAGCGTAAACATGACACATATTCATTAACATATAATCATGGGTTACACAAGACAGTAGTATTTTTCAAGAACCCCCTTACCTTTTAAATGTTACGTTCCCCTTCCCCACTGAATTCCTTCACATTTAGACAGACTCCATTCCACATCACTGGGTCATCTACTCCAGTCTCACGAGAACGAGGAGTTCTGAGGATGAAAGTCCAGAAAGATCAGACTGTGAACAAGAAAAATAAGCCCATTATTCACCAATATATTGGCATTCTGTCTCTTCCTCCTACCAGTCCAAGCACTGCACATGAAAATTACAGAACTGAAAATATACTGTATCTGAGATGCCACATAAGATCTATGAACAATTTGTCCCTCTTGTCATTGTCAAGAAAACCTCAGCAGAAGGTGTGTGTGGAGGGAGGTGGGATTTAAGTCTCACTAAGATATTAACAAAACCAGCAGTTTTCCCAGTCCATTGCAATTCCCTACATCAGCCTTCTCCAACATGGTGCCTTCCAGGTTTTGGACTACAACTTCAATCTTCCCCAGCCAACATGGTTGTGCTACTTGGGGATGATGGAAATTGTAGTCCAAAACATCTGAAGGGTGCCAGTGGGCTGCAGAGACAGCCACCATGATCATTTCCCATAATTCCTTCACGTAGCATTGGCCCATGGCATTGTGGGAAATGAAAATGAAGCAAGGTCGGTGAGGAGTGTGGCCTGAGGAGAGCTCCAGGGGCCAGGCAGAGAAGCCTGGAGGGCTGGATTTGGACCCCCAGGACTAAGATTCCCTATTCCTGTGGCAGAAAGTCCCACATTCGATCCCTGGCATATTCAGTTAAAAGGATTTAGTAGCAGGTGATGGGCTGAGATCCTGCCGTTCACAGCAGACAACAGTGGGCTCGCAGTTAAAAAAAAAGTCCAAGCTGGTATATGGCAACTTCCCATGCTCATATATCTACCAGAAGCAGAGATGGCAGAGCACATTGCTCATCTGCTGACTCTCTGGGAATGGAGGGGTTACAAAGCCAGGTAGATGTGCAGCTATGGTCTCAGGTGGCACCGGAGAGAGAGGTCACACTAGAG